GAGCTAGTACCAATAAAATGGTATGGAAATATTAAACCACAAATTAGGGTGAGAGCAAGAATAATTAGCAAATTAGACTATTTCTATATGCACACCTGAGTTCTCAACTTCCTGTTTTATTTAACCCATAGCTATTGTCCTAATTTTAGGGGTGTTAAAATAGTAAAAAGTTTGTTGAGATAAGCAGTAGATGCATTATGAGTTTCATTACTGTTTTGTTCCCCAACCGAACCAAAGTTAAATAATTTTGCTGTTTAAAGTGTGCTAGGGGCCCAGCAGGGATAAATCCAGTGGCTTAAGGTTGGATGTGTCAACACAGGTTTGCTGAGACTTCAGCCAGTTGATGGTCTTGATCTAAGAGCCAATCACATCTTAATATCTTATACTCCACTAACTTCCTATTTTTAGCAAAATTCTTCCACATGGAATTCTAACTTTGACCTTTGGCCAGGATTCACTCAAGTTCAAAAGGAGACATGCATGATAGCAGGGAATACAGTACAAGACGTAACATGGCTTAGGGCAAAGAATGTGGATACTGGATTCAGATAATCAATGATTCGAATCCTGATTCCCGTTCTTCCTCCCTCTGAGAACTTGAGCATGTAGATTGGAGGCTCAGTTCCACCACCCATAAGCAGGAGGGTTATATTCAATGTATGTACATCATCTGTCACAGATTCTGAACAAATGATATCAAAGAGTAAAGGGATACAAAACTCTTTATGATGTCTATAGAAAAATGTGTGCTGATGGGCCTGGTGATGCAGGGCCACCTGGCAGTCTTCCACAGAGGCAGAAACACAAAATTGCTGGGGTTTACACTGGGATTTTTCACTTGGACGTTGGACCACTGTGGAAGTTGATTGGTTTAAATATTGTTAGTACAACATGGTAAGTTGTAGTTGTTTGAGTCTTACCCCATGAAAGAATTACTTGTCCCAAATATGTTTTATAGGGAACATGTTAAGTATAAATGCTTAAACAAAGAAAATTGTTCTTATAATGAAATTTAGAGGGATTCTGAAAGGGAATTATTTTTGAGCGGGAGAACCCTTTGGGAGTGCTTTGAAATACCTACTAGGGCTGTATATAATGCTGATCTATTTTCCATAGATTTCAGGATTTCTGATGAAAGCAGGGTACCCTCTTTACAGAAAATGTACATTCACACACACACACACACACACACACATAAATATCTGTATACAATTTCAAGGGGGTTGGGGATGCAACCCCTAAGTTAAAGAATTTCTGTTCTGGATAAGAAACTGAGGCTGAGGATTTAAATTGGTCCCTTAAGTCACATATATAATCAGAAAATTCCCCTCCCTGATGTTGATCTTAAAACTATACATAGCCTAAGTTCACAGAGGCATATTTTATGCAGTATCTGCAGGCTTTGTGGTTTCCGCTTTAAGTTCATACTAGTAGCTATAAATAATCTTAGTCTGTGAATAAATTCTCACATAGAACAGAAGAGAGGTACAAGAAAAAGACAAAGATAGGTCAGGAAAACCTACCGTTGACAACAAATAAATTCAAATGCTCACGTTTTTAAGACAACCTTGGATGACAGATGCTTCAAATATGCTCAGGAATGGAAAGGCATAGGTAGAACAGGAAAGTTGAGTCCCCAAGATTCCACAGGAGCCTTCAGAGAAAAAGGAGATTCTGTTTACATTTATCTGACTCTGTTCTTTTCCAAGCCAACCTACTGAGTTCAGAAAGCCACTTGATCTCAGTGTGCCTCGGTTCTGTCAACAGTTAAATGGATCTGTGTAAGTCTCTCCCCCTTTCCTAACAGAGGGTTCCTTTGCGAGGCACTGGGTGAAGCGTTGAGTGGTCATTATCACCCCAGAGAGTCTTGTACAGTCTGATAATCACAGCTCTCAACCAATCCCTTCCCCCTCACCACCTGTGCCCCTCATGGATTCCCAGATAGTAGCCCAGCCTGAAATGAGCATGCCCCTGGGGTGCCCACCAGTTGGAGGCCATTGATCATGTGTGGTTGCCCACTAGACTGAACTTTGCTCCCCGACACTGTGGAATTCTGGGCTGGTCCTTCCACCTCTCCAGACCTTGGTTTCCTAACTATAAGATGAGAGGGCTGCCTTCTGTTACTAAGAGGATAATGAGCTTTAATCATAAAGGAAAGATTGCTGCTAGCAATGCAGTAATAGTGTGAATTAGCTTATTTTAAAACAAGGAAACAGTAATGGGAGCAGAGAAGGGAAGACATAGAGATTTCTCCCATTTTTCTCCCCACTAATCAGACTCTGAATAGGGCAGAATCCATGTCCAGAGTCTACATCTAAAGGGGAAAGGAGAAAACATGCAGCTCATCCTAAGACACAAACATGTGTAAAGGAAAGCAAATCTGTTTATTCAAATCCCACCATTGCTTCAAGGTTCAGCGCCAGCCCTACTTCCTAGGCAAAGCCTTCTCCAATTAAACTATACTTTTCACCCTTTTCTCTGACCATCACACAACCCTGCAGTTTGTCTTTATTTTTAACACCTATTTTTTCCTGCTGTTTCCTGTTTCATCTGTGCAGAGCCTGACTCCCTAATAAGGCCAGTGGCTTTTTTCCTTATCATCCTCTTCTTCATTGGTATATTCTATAGCCTTTTGCAACACAGATCACTAAAAAGTCTGAAGAACTAAGTTAAATTGAAAGGGAGAAAAGAATAGGACACGACATGTGGCTAGAATTTTTGTCGGCAATGGGAGGAGGGGCAGGTTCCACTGATCTGGCTGTATCTTTTCTGCCTGTACCTAAGTGACTCCCAGAAAAGACCAGTTTTTTTCCCTCAAATCCTTCAGTGAGGGACTTCCCTGGTGGTCCAGTGGTTAAGACTCTGCTCTTCTACTGCTGAGGGCCTGGGTTAGATCCCTGATCGGGGAACTAGGATCCCACAAGCCGCGTGGCCCAAAAAAAACAAAACAAAACAAAACAGAACAGAACAAAACAAACAAAAAAAAGCCTTTCAGTGATACCACAGATATTCGTTGAAACCTTCTTATGTACCTCCATTATGCTCGTCATGAAGATGTGTGATGGCCAATCAATTCATCCCCTATAGCACAACAGTATATAAGTGCCATTTTCCCCCCAAACACCTTAAAATGCTCTAGTCACAAAGTTCAGTTCTTTGCGCACCATTTGGGCAGAAGAGTCAAAACTAACGGAAAAATCCTCTCTATGACTTTCAAGTAGTCAGAACCCAAGACAAGGTGCCTGCATCTTGGTGGTTTCCAAAAGAGAAGGGAAGATCAGAACCAAACCGGGTCCTGCCTCCAGACAGGAAACAGCCCTTCCTTTCAGCCGCAGGCTCTTCAGACACCTGGTCCTGCCTGCGGGGCCCCGGCGGGGGGGAAGTGGAGAGGCGAGACGGCTCCCCTGCTCCCCAGGCAACAGGAACAGGGAGAGGAAGACACAGGCCAGCCCAGTTCAATCTTATTCACTCAGAAGGGGAGGCTGCCCTTGGGGAAATGAAAAGGTCACTTCCAATACCATTTACTGTGAGAACATGCCAACCCAAATCCTGGCCCTGGAGAATCAACCCCTACGCAGCAAAGGTCAACGTGGCAATGCGGAGGCAAAAATAAAGTTCTTCATTATTTTCTTAAAAGTACAAACATGAAGGTTTAGGTTTGACATATAAAATAAGAGGAAGAAGGGAAATTCACCTGTTTCACTAGTTGGAGGAACTATCCTCAAAATGAAACACCGACTTACTATAAATGTTATCTTTTAGTTAAATAACAAAGCACATTCACATTATGCAGAGTCCTGGGTCATAAAGAGCCCCAGGCAAATCTAGCCTGAGACTCGTACTCCAACACATCCCGGAACACAGCTGCCCCCAGCCTGACTGTCCACCCAGGGCCAATTTAACTGAGATACTGAGGCTGAGAAACTCTCATTACATGACCACAAAACTCTCCTGGAAATTTCCAGCAAAGCCATTTTCCTAACAAGACACTTTGTTCCCTCATGACAGGTAATTCTATATCCGTAGTCGACCAATAGAGTCATTCTTGTTCACTCCACCCTCACCCCTCCAAAAGGATCTGACGTTGAACTTCCAGCAGTTTATTTCCGAGCGTGGTTATTCCTGTTTCACAACCATCTTCAATAAGATACACAATCAGTGCCTGAAGACACTGAATCCTACAGGAAGGCTAGTGACTCTGGACAACAAAAACCAACATGTACTACCTAGAGCAGATGGTAAGCAGTCTTAATGATTCTCTGATGAAAGTTGATGAAAATATAAATGGAGAAACTATCCAAAATGAGAGTCGTGTGTTCAAAACTAACATGGACCCGTGTTTCCGTAAGAGGTGTTCAGGAGTCGCAGGAACTATACACAGAAGGGAAATAAGAAACATACACATCATTTCTGTAGCTCTACATAACATTGCATGGAGTGCCAAAGCTAGTTTGCTGAGATATGCGGCTATGGAAGGAGACACAGACGATGCTGCTTACATCTGGTGAGATGTCTGCCTTTTCCTCACAGCCTTGCTTGGAGGTAGATCAGACATCGGAGTGGGACGGAGGATTTCAGGGAGCGATTGGCTCAGCTCTCCCTCACCTCGCCTCTCCCCGTTCTCTCGCCAGGGGCTCAGGCTGGCGGGATGCTGCCTCAAAGGCCACCCTTATAAGCCCTGAAGAGAGCGTGTCCACGTGTGGGTGGAGGCAGAGAGTGCTTCAAGAGCAGCAGCGACCTGGCCCTGCAGGTCCACCCGCCGCCTGGTCACCCCGCCCCATCTGGACCCAGCTGGGGCAGCCCTGGGTGCTGTTTTGCTGGACATAGTGCCAGACTCTAACTGTGCAGAATCAGGAGAAAAAGGGCCGTCTCCAGCCCTGTAGTCACTGTGGGTCCTTCTACGTTAATTCACAGGATCTCTTCTGTAAAACGGAATGAATTCTCCTCATCCCAAAGTTCAGTGGAGTGCTGCTTTCAGACACAGATCGACCTCGACCACTTCATTCTGAAAAGAAAATACAAAGTCACCATTTTTTAAAAAGCATGGTTATTCTAAACATTTAGTTTTTTCTTTTACTTCATTGGGTTTGATTATAAACTCTAATGTAAAAGTGGAATATCTGTAAATTCCTAACAGAGGTTTACTCTTCAGGCAACACACACACACGCACGCATGCACGCGCACACGTGCACACACACGCAGAGGCACACAATGCAGAGGCGCACACACGCACACAGAGGCACGCATGCGCAAACACACACGCACGCATGCACGCAGAGGCACACAACTCTGAACTCCTTTCAAAAGGCAAGTTACATTGTTTGCTTATTTGCTTCGGTATAATTCATGATAAATAACATTTTGACGAGGCCCTTTGGATGCAGAGGACATTTTAACAGTCTTTTTTTCATAATCTAACCATAAAAATACCTCTGAATTTTCATTTTTAATACAGCACAATATTCAGTGAGACATTTTGATGAGGGAAATGGCGCACAGCTGGCCTGACTGAAGCAGAGGTACACAGGCAATGACTCGGGACAGGACATAGGGGACCCACGTGCGCCACAGCAGGGTTCTGGCAATTGCTGTTGGGGATGGATCATTCTTTACCATCAGGAGCTGTCCTGTGCATTGTAAGAGGTTTAGCAAAATCATTCTGGCCTCTTCCCACTAGATGCTAGTTTTCCACCAACACCCCCAATTGTGACAACTAAAATGTCTCTAGACTTTGCCGAATACCTCGGAGCGGACAAAACTGCCCTGGCTGAGAAGCAGTGCTCTTTGGCTAAACTCTGTTTCCCGGGGAATCTACCAACAACCTAAATGTTTTCCCTTGACACCCCAGGCAGTCCTTTCAAGGGCAGAATGCATACACTGGCCTCACTGCCAGCAGCCAGACCATCCATTTACCCCAAATCTGTGCAAACGAGATTCATTATTCTCATTGCCTAGAGCTTTTTCCTCTTCTCTCTCACATTAATCAGTTTTTGCTTTTGTTCCTTAGTCTACTGGTTAACTCCTTCACATGTCAGAAAACACGACAAAATAACTTACCCCACGTCCAAAATAACTCATGCAGCTGTTTTACATTGTAAACCAGATTTCCCCTCCTTGTCTCTGGACCCCTCCCTCCACTAGGTGAAGAATCAAAGGTAGAAGGGAGGTGGGGGCAGTGATCCAATAAAAAAAATTCCCTTAACCCTGAGGACATTATGCCAAGTGAAATAAGTCAGACAGAGAAAGACGGATACTGCAGGATCTCACTTATATGTGGACTCTTAAAAAACCGAACTCACAGAAAAAGAGATCAGATTGGTGGTTGCCAGGGGTGGGGTGTGGAGGAGGGGGAATTGGATGAAGGTGGTCAAAAGGCACAAACTTCCTATTATTACAACATGAATCAGTCCTGGGGATGCAGTGTACAGCATGGTGACTATCACTAACACTGCTGCACGGTACCTTTGAAAGCTGCTAAGGGAGCAGATCCCCAAAGTTCTCGTAATGAGGGAAAAGAAACTTTTGTAACTATACGAGGTGATGATGATGGCTGTTAACTACACTTATCACAGCAGTCATTTCCTAATACATGTGTCAAGTCATTATTCTGTACCCCTTAAACTAACACAGTGCTATTGGTTAATTATATCTCAATAAAGTTGGAAGAAAATATAAATTTAAAAATTCACTATGGGCTTCCCTGGTGGCGCAGTGGTTGAGAGTCCGCCTGCCGATGCAGGTGACAAGGGTTCGCGCCCCGGTCTGGGAGGATCCCACATGCCGCGGAGCGGCTGGGCCCGTGAGCCATGGCCGCTGGGCCTGCGCATCCGGAGCCTGTGCTCCGCAACGGGAGAGGCCACAACAGTGAGAGGCCCGTGTACCGAAAAAAAAAAAAAAAAAAAAAAAAAATTCACTTATGACTATAATATTAAGGGAAGTTTTTATTTGTAGAAGGCATCAATATGCCTGCAGTTAGGCCGAAGAGTTGTCATATGTCCAAATTAGAGAATGAGAAATACACACAAAATCCCTTAGGAATCCAAATTGCAAGCTAATTTAAGGTTCTGACTCTTTAGCACACACATAGGAACCCCAGAGGAACTGCAGCCCGGCTCCAGGAAATCCTTGGAATTCCTGAAATTGTAAAATTCCGTCTAGGGGGAAGGGTGTGTGCATTTTTTCCTGGGAGAAGGTACAGTGGCTGTCTCCAAATTCTCTAAGGAGCATATGAGCCAAAGAATTTTAAGAATCTTTGCTCTTTGTAGAACAGAATTGTGGTTGCCAAGGGGGATGGAGGTGGTGGAGGCATAGACAGGAAGTATGGGATTAGCAGATGCAAACTATTACATATAAGATGGATGAACAAAGTCCTACTGTAGAACACAGGGAACTATATTCAATATCTTGCGATAAACCGTAACGGAAAAGAATATGAAAAAGAAGGTATATATATGTGTAACTGAGTCACTTTGCTGGACAGCAGAAATTAACACAACACTGTCAATCGACTATACTTCAATAAAATAAATTTTTTTAAAAAGGAGGAAAACATTAAAAAAACAAGCAAACAGGACTTCCCTGGTGGCGCAGTGGTTGAGAATCTGCCTGCTAATGCAGGGGACACGGGTTCGAGCCCCGGTCTGGGAGGATCCCACATGCCGCGGAGCAACTAGGCCCGTGAGCCACAACTACTGAGCCTGCGCGTCTGGAGCCTGTGCTCCGCAACAAGAGAGGCCGCGATAGCGAGAGGCCCGCGCACCGCGATGAAGAGTGGCCCCCGCTCGCCGCAACTAGAGAAAGCCCTCGCACAGAAACGAAGACCCAACACAGCAAAAATAAATTAATTAATTAATAAACTCCTACCCCCAACATCTTCTTTAAAAAAAACAAAACAAAACTTTGCTCTTTGAAGAATCAGAACATCATCTTTGTGGGACGGTGCCTGCCCAGCTCCTGACAGGAGCGGGGTGATACCTTGCCAAGCCCACCGTGCCTACGAACACAGGGAGCTGGCGTCAGTACCCCCCGGGCCTCACTGGTCCCTCCCAGAGGCCTCACACCCCTCTCTTGCCTCCCTCTGGACTTGGTTCTGAGCTGCCCCTCCCTCTGCCTCCCTGCCTTCTCTGCATCTCTCTTCTTCCTTCCTCGCTTCCCAAATGGTCACTGTCTACCCTTCTATTTGAGAAGGGACTGATACTCATACTCCTGAAAATATCAAACACTGCCCATGCTCTGCAAGGTTGGGGTGGGTCACAGAAACCCCCATCCCCAGGAAAAATGCCTGAGAGAAAGAGTACCGTCTCCTGAGGAGCAGAAACAGTGTCGCTCAGGCCTGCATCCCTGATGCAGAGTCTGAGGTTCAGTTCCAGGTCTTCTGTCAGACCTCATAAGCCACCTGCCCTCATAACATGGACCTGCCGGCCTCATAATCCTCCTCAACCTTGTCTCACCCTCCTCCCACCCCCTGGCCTTCATTTAGAAAGTGCTGGGGACCACGGCTTTGAAGAGGAGGCTCAGAAAGTCAAGGTCAGTCACCACACAGCAGGCAGGGTGGGCCTCCCCTCTCTCTGCCGTACACAGGAGTGGGCTGAAAGGTCCTTCCTTCCTTCCTTCCTTTTCTCCCTCTCCCTCACCCCCTTCTCTCTTTCTAAAATTCCTGTACAGGGGGCAGAACCTCCTCACTCCACACAGTATGTTATCTGCCTGGCCCAGAGACACACTTCATTTTTTTAGATGCTCAGTGAAGAAACTATTCATTTATATGACTTTCCCAGTGAGCTAAAAGTTGGCCCTCTGAAAGTCATTCCTTTTATTCATTTGGGGAAAAGAGAGCTTTAAGAACTGCTTTATAAAACTCTCTGCCTTCCCAGGCCGAGATCAGTTCACTTCCACTTTCCGTTCCCAAGAACTAAGCGTCATCACAATAAACGCCTCTTCTCACAGCGTGTGGTAATGTGTGCGCTTTACAATCTGTTGCACTCTCCTGACCTTCGGCTGCTGGGCCCGTGCCTGCCGCTCACCACATCTCCTTCTCGTTCACCTTTTTCATTCATTCAACTAGTATTTACCACTGCTGATGTGCAGTGTTTCTGATGGGTTGTGGCTGAAAAACCATCCAAGACTGTTGGCATTAAACAAGAGCTAAAACCTCTCCAAGTGAGGAATCAGAAGTGGGAAATGAGAAGAATGGGAAGTAAGGCCAAAGCTCAGTTCAGACAGACATGAGGGAAGGAGGTCTCGAAGGCTGGCGGTCATCTCACCTTTCCACCTTCCTTTCTGGCAGGTTTTGTACAACGTTCGCAGATTCTGACAAGTAGGGTATCTTCTATGCTTGTTAAAAAACATATCCATTTCCCCATCCTTTTCTTAGTTTTAAAAGTAGATGAGTAAGTGTATTACAATCTTCTATGGAAAGAGACAAACTTGTCTTTTTATGTCCCTCTATTAATATCTTAATGCAGCAGTCCCCAGCTTTTTGGCACCAGGGACCGGTTTCACGGAAGATGACTTTTCCACAGACTGGGGGTGGAGGTGGGAGTCGGGGGGTGTTTCAGGCGGTAATGCGAGCGATGGGGAGCAAGGGGGAGAGCTGGGGGGTGGCAGATGAAGCTTCACTCGCTCGCCCGTCGCTCACCTCCTACTACGCGGCCCGCCTCCTAACAGGCCACGGACCGGTACTGGTCCACAGCCTGGGGGGTTGGGGACCCCTGTCTTAATGGACTCAGTGGCCTTCAATAGAAAAAGAGATAGATTCCCCATACTGAGGTCATCTTTCAACAATTTAACTATATTGTTTACTTCAAACTCTTCAGCACTTGCTTCTCTTGTGAGACCAGTGTTTCCATGAAGGTTTCTAATGATATTCTGATGTGGGCTATGGGGCTTAGAAGGTGGGTGAACCACAGCAAGGAAACACATAGCAACCCTCGTGTTTATAGTTTAGTTGTTTCCGTGACGTTTTTTCCAGTTGCTCTGTCTGCTCACGGAGGGCAGGGACTGGGTGACCTCCACGGAGCGTGGAACATCACCTGCTCAGAAAGCAAATTGAGCCATCTGCCCTGTCTGGTTCACTTGTTTATCATCACAGCTCTGCCTTCTGATGTGCTCGACTTACCAGAGAGCCAGAGGGACGCTGGGTCAAGCCCCAGAGTCTCACAACCGGACACGTTCTGATCATGGAAATCCTGCTGCAAAACACCCAGCACCAACTCCTCACTCATCACATACTTCATAAAGTTGTGGTCTTCCGATGGAAACCCAAAGTGCAGGTGGTAGGTTATTGTGGCGTTTTCACCACTGAAAGGCAAACCAAACAGAGAAAGTTAAAAATATCAACAGAGGGCTTCCCTGGTGGCGCAGTGGTTGGGAGTCTGCCTGCCGATGCAGGGGACACAGGTTCGTGCCCCGGTCCGGGAAGATCCCACATGCCACGGAGCGGCTGGGCCCGTGAGCCATGGCCGCTGAGCCTGCGCATCCGGAGCCTGTGCTCTGCAACGGGAGAGGCCACAACAGTGAGAGGCCCGTGTACCGCAAAAAAAAAAAAAAAATCAACAGAATCACATTGCAACTCAGGAAACTGATTTTAGGAAGAACATCTTTTTAGTTCTGCATTCCCTCCCAGGACAAAAGAGCAAAGAGTGTACTGCCCTAGAAGCCCCCTCACCAATGCATCCATCACACAAAGTTGAGGTGGTCCTAACCTCCTCCTTCCACCTAGAACCCATCCCCTTGGAGTCCTCCAGGAGAGGCCATGCAGGGGAGATACTGACTCAGCTATTGTCAACAAGGCTCCAAGAGCTGTCCAACACCAGGCTTTACCCCTGAGGCAGGCCAGGGAACCCCTTTTTTTCCCTGTTCTCACACCACAGCCTCTCCCTGCCCCAACAAGTACGTGTCAGAGCTACTCAGTTTAACCAGTTCATTACTTAACCTATAAAATGTTCAAGGTAGGGCCCAAAGCTACCTGCCATCGGCTGGATGCAGACTCGTAAACTCTCACAGATGACCCTGGGTACCAGCAGCAAATCATACCTCCCTGGTTTGTCCCCAAAGTGAGAAACTTTTTCTGTCCCATTTCCACTTCCTAAGGTTTTGCAACTCTCAGTAAGGGGACCTAAGGAAAGGGAGTTTTCATCTTCTTAGAACATGCTTTCCCATTTCTAAAATAAAAATAATCATGAGGCTATCCTCAGCTAATCAACAGTCTATACAGCTTGTTAAATGCTACCTTAACATTTAGATTTCTCAACAGATATCCTTTGGTTCAAGAAGGCCTAGATTTTTAAAAAAGGTCCAGATTAAGAGCCAGCAATAAAATATTTAAGAGTGGCCACATCTGAGACCCTCACCCAAGGGCAAGTTTGTGGGTTTTTTTGTTTGTTTGTTTGTTTTTTTAACATCTTTATTGGAGTATAATTGCTTTACAATGGTGTGTTAGTTTCTGCTTTATAACAAAGTGAATTAGTTATACATATACATATGTTCCCATATCTCTTCCCTCTTGCGTCTCCCTCCCTCCCACCCTCCCTATCCCACCCCTCTAGGTGGTCACAAAGCACGGAGCTGATCTCCCTGTGCTATGTGGCTGCTTCCCACTAGCTATCTATTTTACATAAGGGCAAGTTTTGCAGGCAAGCCCGTCCCAGGAGTGATTCAGAACACTGTCCCTGCCAACGACTGGCAAAGAGCTCCCTCTTGTGGCCAGAGGTCACATAGGCCAATACTCAGACACGCGCAGGCTTTGGAGGCAATGCGTTTGTTTCTCAGTTCGACATTGTTGAAACTCTCTCTGGACTTTAAAAAATGAAACAAAAATGTTTCCCAGCAGAATTTCTTTATCCAAAAATCCTAAAACCCTTGGGTTTTTCTTTCAAATAACTTTTAAAAATAGATTCTCTCACATTATTCTTCAGATTTTGTTTTACTCAGTTTTCTGATGGGTTTTCTCAGTGTTTACCCCAACCCGTTATGCAACCCCACCTCCTCTAGACGCGTAATATGGGCTGGATTCTTGGTAAGACCCTTTACGCTCTGGATATCCTTCCTCTCTCACCTCTGTCTTTGAATTGTAAGTTAGGGCAAGCGCACTAAGAGGAAAGTTGGGTCTGATTATGCATTTCTCCCTTTTCTATTGGCGTTTTAATACCAGTAATTTATGAATAAAATAGGTTAGGTCAAAAGTGTCACCATAAGGTAGCATGCACACTGGCGGTCCATAAAGAAGGAGGAATAGTGCTGTGGACAAGGCAACCTGCCACTGTGTTTTCAGACTCCAAAGCCCTTTGGTTTTACCCCGCTGTGCACCGGTGCTTCCCCTCCCAGGTTTGGGAAATTTATGGTTTGAGAGGAGGAACCTCAATGTATAATTGCCTTTGATGGTCACATTCCAGAGATATCTTAGGTACAGCAGGTAAAAAAGCTTTGCCTTGTAAATCTTGTCCTAACAATATAAAAGGATAATCAAATGACTCTCCTACATACATACACACTTTTACCTAAGTATCTATAGACATATATAAAAACATTAGAGATTAGGGGGAAAGGAAACAATACATATGCGTGCGTATATGTTACACATGTATAATACACAAAGTATATATGGTAAATACATGCACAGAAGAAATCACACAGACCAGTGATTGTTGTTCATTTTGTAGAAGGGAGTGGAATTCACTGCGGAATTGATTGGCACATGAAGTGTCCAGGGGTAGTGGGGCAAGGGAAGGCAGGATGTGTACTTTGCTGGTAGCATGTATCTTTATTTTTTAATATTATACAAGGAGCATGAAATTTTATATGACTTGTGTTCCTCAAAAGCAAAAGCCAGTACATAATCACAGCACTGAGATCTATTTCTATTTCTACTCTTAGCTTATTCGAGCATCTCCTGGGAAACAGAAATGGTTTGTCTGGGCTTTTCCTCTATTCCCTGTTACTGTGTTGAGTCATATAATTTATCTGGGTTTCATTTTTTTCCTTCGTAAAATAAGGGCATTGAGCTAGTTGGCCTCCAAAGACCCTCCCGGCACTGACACTATGGTTCTATCTTCCGTTGGTCCCCTCCGTGCTTTCAGATTAGGGAAGTCCTTTTTGGTAACTAGCGATGAGTGTCGATTTCCAGAGAGACACCAGCACATAATGCTCCACATTCTTACCTGAAGTCTATGATTTCAACTGAAGTAAAGTAACGGCTCAGAGCTGGTGATGAACTGTACACATCTGTGAGCTAAAACAAACAGGGCCAAATTAACAACCACACACATTACTGCCAGATCGTACTGCATATCACCTGACAAAGCAAAACTACTCCTAAGCAAAGGAGATCCAACTCTAGGGAGGAATTAACCTACCTAGAGGCTCTGGATGAAGAAACAGGAAGGGGTGGGCCCCTCACCAACCAAAATTCAAGTTAGCATTCATTTCAAGGGATCTCATTTGTAAGGATCAAGTGACCAGGCTGGGATTTTCAACATCTCGTATGTTGCGCTGAGACCTGTGGCCTTACTGGTCGGCAGCCTGAGCCCACACAGACCCGAAGCGCCATGGGAAGGAGGGAACCCCCGCGGGGCTAGAAAGACTGCAAAACAGGCTGCTCAGGGCCCCGTTTATAACCGAACAAGGGCCTCTTCTCTCCTTTCTCCAGAGCTTCACTCCAAGGAGAAACAGCCACGCTGTTTCTGGATAATGGGACCAAGTGGGAGAACAACGGCAAAGATTCGGAGTTCTTATTTTATCCATGAAGTGTTGCAACCGTAAAAAATAATGACATCTGTGTTCCCAACTACCCAGGTTTCGTGCCCTCACATTTTACCATATTTAGTTGAGCCCTTTACGTGAAGAAACCCAGCACAGCTAAAGCTATTCCTACACACTATTCTGTTTTTCCTCCCTCCCTCCCCACTACTAACCACTGTCCTGAAGCTGGCATGTATCTTTTCCATGCATGTTTTTATAAACCTAACACTCCCCTGTGTAATCATAACTATACATAAATTTAATGCACATTTTTATTCAAATAAAACATACCATACTCTACATAATCTTCTCTGACTTGCTTTTTTTCACTCAAAATCACATTTGAGGTTTACCCATAATGGTACGTCTAGATGGAGGTCATTCAATGTGACTCCTAACTCTGCAGAGATTCCATGAAATGATTGCTCCACTTCATCCCTTCCCCTACTGGTGGCCATGGGCTTTGTTTCCGATTTTCTCCTGCTACAAACTATGCTGAGGTGATCCTGCCTGAAGTTCTCTGAGACTCTCTTCTTATACAGGTAAGATTTTCCCTGGGCCATATACCAAGAGATGGACTTGGGTCCAAGAGTGAGCACATCTCTACCTTAACTAAGTCTTTCTGAATTGCTCTCCATTTCACTCCCCTCCCAGCAATGTATAAATGCTCTATTTCCCACAGCCTTGTCAGCATTTAATGTTACCAGATTTTTCCATTTTTGCCAATCTGATGAGTATAACATCGTGTTTTACATCATTTTCATTGGCAATGTCTCACTTTCTAGTGAGGTTGAGTATCTTTTTGTGTGTTTATTAACTCTGTGGGATTTCTCACCTTTGAATTGCCTATTAGGGCCCTGTCTTCCTCTTGGGTTTTCTTATCCAAACTGATTGGTGTTACATTCTGGACACTAGCTGTTGGTTTTGTGTCATAAATATCTTCTCCCAGTCTTTGATTAGTCTTTTCATCATGTTTCAGAGATGTGAATTCTCACCTGTAGTACCCGAGAACTTGTGGCTGAATGTATTTACGTTGCATCTCTTTAAAATTTACTTTGAAGGTTAAATGCCTTGTTCTTAGCAGGCAGGAGGACAGTGCTGGGATCTGGGTATACCCCCCAGCATGGACCCAGCTCTGAGGCTGGAAGCAAGCCCACGGCCAAGCCTCTGAGAGCCCGGCCAGACCCACTCCTGCCGGCCTAAAGCCTCAGCCCTGATGTTTTTCTAGAAATTCCACACCTACGGTTTCTCCCATGCTGAGCCTGGCACGCCCTGAGGCATCCATCACGGCTCGGTGCCTCACTGTTTTATCCAGCAGCAAGCAGCAGAACTACCCACGAGGAAAACTTGCCCACCTGTCTCCCACCCATTCCAAGCGGAATCTCATGGAGGCTGCATCCATATTTCGCTCCCACTTAACTCACTGGTGACAATTCATTCTCTCCAAGGTAGAGCAGACGGGATTAGAGCGCCTCCTCTAATCCTGTCACTATTGCTATGATCTGCATAAGAATCTTGACATAAGAGGCATTGCTATCTCTGCTATCTCTCCCTTTCTCACTGATCAAAAAAGAAAAAAAAATGCCAGGCATTCGGGGGAGATTATAAAACATGGCCCAGGCCACTCTGCTAGTAAGGGATTCAATCCTAGATGTTACAGACACTAAGGCCAGCTTCCTCACGTTTTATCAAACCACCCAGTGGAGATGAAGCAAGAAGGAAAGTGGATCCTTCTGAATATCAAGGAGGAAAGTAGCATTAAGTGTTAAGAACTTTGGGGGAAAACGACTGGGTCATCTTATAGTTTCTGAGCCCCAGAGAAAAGAATATTGCCAACAGGCCGACAGTCATTTAGAAGACCCGGGAGGTTGGAAAGTGGCTCTCCCAGGGCTGCACAGAAGGAGAGGGAAGACGATGAGGATGCTACAGATGGGATTATTTTTCAAGAGCTGAAAATAATAACAATAATAACAACAATAATGCCACTCTCTTCCTTTAAGATTGAGCTTCTTATGTCAGGAATTATGTTTGTCCTTCCTTCTTTTTTCCCTCCCTCTCATCCTTCCTTTATTAATCCTTAGGGCCCTAATCACTGTGTTTTGCATATAGTAGGTACTCAGAAAAAATGTTAAGTTAAAATTTTATGTTAAGAGATGGAGTGGTATACTAGATCACTTTCAGTGTCCACGCTAACATTCTTTTTGGTGGCATGGTCCCCGGCTATAATTAGGACATATTTACATATTTAGGAGCTGTTAACCACACTACCCACTTTGGGACCAAAAAAGTGAAAAGAGGGGCTCCTCACCCCTTGCTCTGGTGTCTCTCACACTATGCCTGTGAGGCTGGGTACAAACTGAGCTCGGAGCCCAGTGAGCTGATCACGAGAGTCAGGTACAGTGTCTCATCAAAAACCAGCTTCCAATTATTTACAATAGCCAAGATATGGAAGCAACCTAAGAGTCCATCAATAGATGAATGGATAAAGAAGATGTGGTATATAGAGACAATGGAATACTACTCAGCCATAAAAAATAATAAGATATTGCCATTTGCAGCAACACGGATGGACTTCAAGGGTATTATGAAATAAGTGAAATAAGTCAGACAGAGAAAGACAAATACTGTAAGATAACAATTATATGTGGAATGTAAAAAATAAAACAAACTAGTGAATATAACAAAAAAGAAACAGACTCACAGATACAGAGAACAAATGAGTGGTTACCAGTGGGGAGAAGGAAGCTGGGAGAGGCAAGATGGGGGCAGGGGATTAAGAGGTACAAACTACTATGTATAAAATATATAAGCTAAAAGGATATATTGTACGGCACAGGGAATATAGCCAATATTTTATAATAACTATAATTGGAGTGTGACCTTAAAAACTGTGAATCACTACGTTGTACACCTGAAACTTATAATACTGTATATCAACTATACCGCAACTTTTTAAAAAGTGATAATGTTAAAAAAAAAAAAAAGAAAGAAAGAAAAGAAAACAGCTTCCAGAGGAAGATGCAGCTTCCCTGCATCAACGCTAATTCGGCAACAAGCACGTGGACTGAGCTACGACACCACAGAGCTAATGGGCTGGCTTAAGCAGAGTATCAGCCCCAACCCTAAGAGAAGGAAACTGGCAGTGAGATATGAGAGGGGCCAGGAAAACTGTGTTTAGAAAAGCAAGACAGTAAAGCAAAAGAGAGGGCACAGTGTTTCAATATCGACTCCCATTTACCTTCCATGTCCAGAAGCTTCTGGAAACTGGCCTAAGTGGAAGAAAGGGGTTCTTGACCTGATAATTAGATAGTAATTAGATAGTAATATCTCTAAGTTCCTCATTTTTGTTCCTGAACATATTTGATTGGGAAGCCAGGGGCAGGAGTCATTTCAGCTCACTGTACCTTACGTTTATCATCTGCAAGTCAGATAATTCTTTTAAAAAATGTTTTACAGGGCTTCCCTGGTGGTGCAGTGGCTGAGAGTCCGCCTGCCGATGCAGGGGACACGGGTTCGTGCCCCGGTACGGGAAGATCCCACATGCCGCGGAGCGGCTGGGCCCGTGAGCCATGGCCTGTGCCTGTGCTCCGCAACGGGAGAGGCCACAGCAGTGAGAGGCCCGTGTACCGCAAAAACAAAAACAAAAACAAACAAAGAAAGCACCCAAGGGACTTACTTCCCTAGTGGTCCAGTGTTTAAGACTCCGAGCTTCCACTGCAGGGGGTGCGGGTTCGATCCCCGGTAGGGGAACTGGGATCCTGCATGTCACGCGACGTGGCCAAACAATTAAAAAAAAAAAAGGGCAACCAAGAGGAAAGTAGCAACAGGCTATTCACTCAGCAGCTTGCTCTGGAAGCAGGTGGCAGGAAAGGAGGAAAAGGGAACTGCAGAAAAGATATAAAAAAGGAAACGAAGGAGGAAGAGAAACCTGGAATAATCCTCGCAAGGTACAAACTCCTGTGATCAAAGGGGCAATCAAACGGTATGCACCTGGCTGCCCAGAAACTGACTCTGGGGTGACCTAGATGGAATCAGATGGAAGCCAAACAAAGAGGGCTCACTCCATTCAAACTATCAACTGCAGGGATGAAGGTAACAGACGGCAGGCTAGTCTTGCTTAGGTTTTCTTATCAAAAACTTTTCTGGGTCTGGCCGTGAACCACCCTGTCTTTGACAAGGTGACCAGGGCTGCCCACCAACCCTCGTGGTCTGGCTGCAGAGCCCCCATATTGCACAGAGGCTCATTCTCCTGCATTTCCTGCTCCGTGAATGATGTCACCGTCCACCCACGTGGCCACCCAACCAGGAGCCTGGAGCCATGCTCTCCCTCAGACCCACATCCAACCAGCCATGAGGTCCTACTGAGGGAGAAGACCTCTGAAATCTCACTTGAACCTTAATTACTCCCCCTGACGTTGCCCTAGTTCAAGGCTCTCTCATTTGTCACCCAACTTATTACAACACCCTCTAACTAAGCGCTCTACTTTCAGTGTTTTCCCATCATCACACACAACAACTAAAATCAGAAGCTGACCGTGTCAGCCTGCAGATTAAAATCCTTCAGGGCCTCGTCAAAGAACACAGAAACCTTCATGAGCTGACCCGTCCCCTCCTGTTCAGCCTCACCTCTGCAAGTCCGCTACACAGTATGCAGGGGCCATAGCACCCTGCTGGGCACATCCTCTAGTGTTCGCTGCTCTCTAATCTGGAACACCCCTACTTCGTATTTCAAGATTCTTCCTGAGTGTCACCTCCTCCAGGAGGCCTTGCGTGCCTCCATCCCCACCTCCGTGTTTATATAAAACACACTGTACGTATCTCAGTGATGGAACGTATCACACTGTTCATAACTATTTAATTGCTTCCTCTACTTGGACTGTGAGCTCCCATTGAGGGCTCAGACTCTGTGACCCTGGCACCGGGCATGTTGCTGAGCACATCGCAGACCCTCAGTGAAACTTCAGGTTGAATCAAATATAAGACCAGAATGAGAAACAGAATGCTGTCCTCCAGGATGCATTTAGCTGGAGGCCAGGGCTCCTCCCTCTGGCTTTGCACTACAAAAAATCCATTTCTAAGCCCGGGTTTCTGCCACTACCCACAGACAAAGAATCCAAGCTTGAAGCTACCTACGGGCTATAGCTCTAAGCCAACTGCTCCAGGAGAATTCATACTCTAATGCTGAGAACTCAGTAACAATGCATAAGGTATCCTACCCTTTTCGTGAGCAGGTCAGGCAATTTCTCTTCAGTAACACACTCCTCTGGAATCTTTAGCGTGACCAAGAATGTTTTATTAGATGACAATTCAAGTATTTCATTTTCATCCTCATCGACATAGGTTACTAAAGAGAATGGGGGGGGTATAAAAAGTAAAAGTAAACACATGCATAAAATAATAAACTTATTTACTCCATTGACTGCTATACTTAAAAAACAAACAATGAATATTCATCAAGGATAAAGCCTGGACACAGTAAGCAAGAATAAGCAGAAATGCTTTCTCTTCTCAGTAAGGCTGAATAAAGACAAGGGCTCGCCTCTATCATGATATAAATTTTGTTGTTTTATTTGACGCCACGGGGGGCTCAGATTCCACTGAACACAGACTGGGAGAAGGGTGGTGGGAGGAAGCGGGAAGAACGTGAACTCCTTTGTTAAACTGACCCTGTAGCTTAGCTACATGCACAGGTGTCAAGGCAGACGCTGGAGACGTTCTGGAGGAGCCAAAAGACAACGGGGGACGGGGGACAAGGAGTAGAGCAAGGAACTTTGCTGAATCCTCTTCGGTTCTGTACACATGCTGAGGAAGTGACCATCCTCGAGCAGAACAGCTTGGGGATTAGAATCTGAGAGCATGAGCATGAAGTCATCGCTCTCCAGGATGTCCCACAGCGGGGATGTTGACACACTCTGTTTGCACTCAGAGCCCCAGGGCTCATGGGACTTACATTCCTGGGACAACAGTTGGCTGCTTTGTTCTAAGGACTATGAGCTAATTGATTTCTTAAGCAGTTAGAGCCAAAGGAAAAACACACGAAGTCGGAGCCAGGAGTTCAAAGCTGGCATGCTGGCACTAATTATGCTCCCCTGACTTCCTGCCGGGGTCACTCGGGGACAACCTCTCCGGCCCTGAGAAAGGCGTGGGTGACTGGAACCAGGTGTTTGTCGTGAATTTTTTTTTGTAATCCCACACCTCAAACATAACATTATCAGCCTCTTTTACTGGACTCTGAAAAGGCCACAGTGGCATCAATTCTGGGTTTATGATGGAAGAAAGAGTCCTGGTACTTATTCCCTGAGGAAGTCTGAAGTGTGAGGCATGAGAAGCAAGGGAATGTGCAGGAGAATTAACAGAGCAGGCCGGAGGCTGCCAGCCTTAGCAAGTCCAGCGCAATGTTGGCCCCTGGCTGGAATCTGGAGCTTAGATTTCTGGAGTGTTCCCACGTTTCCTGGTAAAGAGTGGCTGGCTATGCCTCAACTGTTTGCAGAAACAGTGTGGCTTGTGCTGAGCCTCTCCTTTCCTTCTGGGAGTCTGGAGTTTTGGTAGGTACCGGGCAGAGCCTGCCTATGAGACCAACTCCAATAAAAACTGAATCTCTAATGAGCTTCCCTGGTGGACAACATTTCACACATGTTGTCACAACTCATTGCTGGAGGAATTAAGTGTACTCTGTGTGACTGCACTGGGCAAAGACTCTGGGAAGCTTGCACCTGGTTGCCTCCATATTTTCCTTTATATCCTTTAGCTGTAATAAATCAGTCATCTTTATGACTATATGCTGAGTCCTATGGGTCTTACCAGCAAATCACTGAATCTGGGAGTGATCTTGGGGACTCCAACACAGGGAATTATCCCTGCATCCTTATTTGTTGTAAGTCATCATGTTATTTTTGTCTGAGAATAAAAGTTATGCCCTCAAAGCAGAAAACTTAAAAGGATAGGAAATTGTAGCAAAGCAAGAAAAAAATTACTAATAATTCTTTAATCAAAAGGTCCCCCCCATATTTTATATTATATATTTGAGGTCTTAATGAGAAGGTAATTTGTATACTGCTTTTTGTTGTTTGTTGTCATCATTTCTTATCTGTCTTGACTCTTTTGTTGCTGTTTACATATCAAAAGCCATTCCCCACGTGTTTAAAATTCCTTGCAAAGATTATTTAATGGCTGCACTAATGTTCTAAAACCATTTAGTGTTTTTATCTTTCCAATTCATAAATGCTGCTGCAATGGGTATCTCTGAGCTCTACACCCACCACATACATTTCCAGAGTAGATATCATTGCCTCAGAAAGGAATAAGGATGCCAGAGAATGGATGCAGGAGTCACAGAACTGCTGAACTCAAGGGCACTAAGAAATGCCAGGTTTGCCTTGTGCTAGCCTCTCCTTCACACTGTAGACACAGCCCAGGCTCAATGCCTTAAGCCGAGCCGTGATCCTGAATTTGCCATCACTTCAGTGGTGTCCCATGGGCAGAGTCGGGGGAGAGCCCACTCCAGGTGCAGGCAAGAAGGGCTGCACAGTCTGTAGAGAATTAATAATAAGAAACCTGACCACAGGTTGGCCTGCTTGTATTATCACCACATCATGGCCATTCCTGTCAATGTCAGTGACAAGCTACAGCTCCCCACTGGGCACCTCATTCTGGGTACCCTACTGGCCCCTCCCCAAATGGGATATCTTTCCGTAGTGGGATGTATTTAGTGTCCCCTCTGGGTCCACTCCAGCTCCACATTTATTATCACCTCCACCTCTGAGCCTCAGTCTGGGGACTACAGAGCCCCGAGACAGGAGAGTAAGGAGTTGGGAGAAAGGGAAGGAGGAGGGGAATGGCAAATGGAGGTCCTGAGAAACTTCACTTCTTTTTTTTTTTTAAATTTTTCTTTTTATTTTTTGCGGTACGCAGGCCTCTCACTGTTGTGGCCTCTCCCGTTGCGGAGCACAGGCTCCGGACACGCAGGCTCAGCGGCCATGGCTCACGGGCCCAGCCGCTCCGCGGCATGTGGGATCCTCCCGGACCGGGGCACGAACCGGTGTCCCCTGCATCGGCAGGCGGACTCTTAACCACTGCGCCACCAGGGAAGCCCCGAAACTTCACTTCTTAATGAACCAGACAGCATCACTTCTTAAAGAATATGTACATTCATTCTTTTGTTTTTTAATTGTTATATAAGTTACAGGTGTACAATGTAGTGATTCACAATTTTTAAAGGTTATACTCCATTTACAGTCATTGTAAAATACTGGTCATATTCCCCGTGCTGTACAATATACCTAACAGTCTGGATTTCTTTCTCCCCTACCCACATATCGCCCCTCCCACATTCATTAACGAATGCACAGCCTTCGACTCTCCCACCTGCCCTTTTCCCAGACAGCAGCATTTTCTACACAGTGCCCAGAAGTTCTACCAATACTCGATTCATATCAACGGGCTTGACGATTGGACAATGGCTGATTTTTGCAGACTGTCATCCCAGAAGTGCCCGCGGAGCTGCTCTGGGTGAGGCTGGGACTGTCATGGAGGGAGTCCTGTCCCTGCTCCTTTTTACCCATTAAACCCGCCACTGCCTACTATGACCGTCCCCACAAGCCCAAACTCTTGAAAGTTGAGATGCCAAGTAAAATAAAAGTATTTCCCTGATTTAAAGAAAGTAAAAGTTTGAAAATCTCTCTTACAGCATTAACATATTTTAAACACAATTTTATAAACAAATTGAAAACAAAGTTTGCACCGCAAGTATTAAAAAACTCTTCCCTGAATCTGATCCTGTGAACTCTCACGTCCCCCTAAGAAACTGTGGAGGAAATGGAATCCCTTCTTCTGCAGGTCGCTCTTTGTGATTTGAAGAGGTCAAATGACTTTCTGAGAATGAAAATGGAAGACAGCTCTTGGATCTTGAGTTTGTTTTTTTTTTTTTTGGGCCACTCGGCTTGCAGGATCTTAGTTCCCCAGCCAGGGATCGAACCCGTGCCCCCTGCAGTGGAAGCATGGAGTCTTAACCAATGGACCGCCAGGGAAATCCCTGAGTCTTGAGCTTTAGAATCCTCAATATCAAACCAACCAAATCTGTGGCATCATCCTTTGTTATAGGCCCCAGATGCCAGCCGATGGTTCAGCCAACTTTTAGGACAGCACTGGCTGCTTGTGATAGGACAAGGCTGTGTGACTCAATTTCAGTTTCAATATCCACATGTGGGAGATGATGGGAAGAGGGAGTATCAACACTCCTACCAAAGCTATTGTCCTCAGTGTGATGAAGGAGGGGCAGCACCTCTTATCAACTTCTCCCTGCCTCAGGACCAGCCTCTGGCCTCAAAGACCCAGCCATTCCACCTCAACACTGCCTTAAGTAACTAAGCAAACATGCTGCCTGCCTGGGAAGCTCATGTGCTAGAGGTTGGCACACCTCATCAGAGTCTTCCTATTTCTTCAGGTACTGTAAAACTTTGAGACAGGAGATGAAAGGGTTGGGACAAGGAGGAACAGGAGGTGAATGACAAATGCAGTTCCTTAGGAGAATTCCCAGGGCCCCCTCTGGAGAAACTCAGGGGCTGCCATGCTTGCTCTCATCCTGTAACTTGGTTTGCTATGGAGAGTCCAGCTCAGCCCTTATCTTGTGGTGATCGGATCACCCTCACAAGTATCCCAGTTCCAGAGAGCCCCCCTCACACCCCTGTACCCTACAATCACCCACACACAGAAAAGAAAGCATTTTTCTTCTTTCCTGTTTTGAAATTGAAATGTTGCCCACTGGGGTGGGGGGCACTATATTTATGCATCATAAAAACCTTAATACTGATAATCATAAAAAAGTTAGCAACTACCTAAAAGGTTTTAAAAAGATGTGGAAGGGCTTCCCTGGTGGCGCAGTGGTTGGGGGTCCGCCTGCTGATGCGGGGAACACGGGTTTGTGCCCCGGTCCGGGAGGATCCCACATGCCGTGGAGCGGCTAGGCCCGTGAGCCATGGCTACTGAGCCTGCACGTCCGGAGCCTGTGCTCCGCAACGGGAGAGGCCACAGCAGTGAGAGGCCCACGTACCGCAAAAAAAAAAAAAAAAAAAAAAAGTGTGGAAGAGTACATCATGCAGTTAGAAAAACAAAGTGTTCACAAATAATTTTTAATGAATTGGCAAAATGATCTCAATGTAACATTAAAATCCTGAAAGTGAGCCACAGGATGATAAAAAACAATCTGATCGCAAATTATTTTTAAAATACAAGTAAGAAAAAGACTAGAGAAAAATATAACAAAATATTAATAATGTGGATGGGCTTTATGGGTAACTGAACATGTACTATGTTCATATTCATAATAAAAAATAAAATGAGATAATGCATGTAAAATATATATTTAGCACCATGTGAGTTTTTGTTTTGTACCACATACAACACAAATATAACAGTGATTTCTACAATAAATTAAAACAATGACAGCTTACAGATACATGGTTCTATAAAGTTTTTTAAATGCTTCCAAATACATTATTCATCATTTTACCATTACAATAATATACTAGGTATATCAGATAAAGTTATCGTTACACAATAATTACCTTTTTACAATAATTATCTTTTTTTTTTTTTTTTTTTTTTTTCCGTACTGTGGCCTCCCCTCGTATTGGCCTCCTCCGCCATGGCTCACGGGCCTAGCCGCTCCGCGGCATGTGGGATCCTCCCGGACCGGGGCACGAACCCATGCCCCCTGCATCGGCAGGCGGACCCTCAACCACTGCGCCACCAGGGAAGCCCTACAATAATTATCTTTACTAAACAAATTATTTTAAAAACTTTTCAAACAGGCATGGGTAAGATACAATAAAACATAGTGTTTATGGAAATGAAAAATTTAAGAAATCTTCAACATCCAATGGGTAGAGTTTAAAGTAAAACAATGACCCCCATACTTTTTCCAGAGTTTATAAAACACACAAAAAAGAAAAGAAAAAAGAAAAGCAAAAATCATGTATATCTCCCATCTGTACAACATATCACAAACCAGTTTTAAACTCACATTATAAACAATGAAATAGCAGTGAGTACGTCTTTGATTTCAGCGTTTAAGTACCGTAAGCATTACATGAGTTCTCAAAATGCGTCAATTTAGTCATGTTTAAAACCTCTTACCTCCAGTCAGACATAAGCTTATGGTGATGACTATAACGAAACCTAGGAAAACAGAGGCAAGGACCATCCACAGTTTGCACTTTCCAACCAAGTTCTTATTACAGGAGTTCCAAGGGCTTTCCTTGTCAGCCTGGAAAGCAGAGGGAGACTTAGAGGCAGTCATTTGGTTTCAACAAACATTTTTTAATACTCACTATGGGCCAGTGACACAGAAATGAAGGCAGCAGGAGCCTGACCTCAAAGGGCTCCACCCTACTGAGTCAAGTTTACAAAAGGACAGAATGGAACCTCACAAAGAAGTTAGCAAGAAAATGCTCTGGGGACTCTGAGGTGGGAAGGATGGGCAGGATTTTGAAGGATGGACAGAGAAAGGCATTCCAAACCCAGGAAAGAATATCCTCCGTGTCGACTCACAAAGAAATTGGCCAAGAGATGCATCTGATAGGAATGTGGGTTTCAGAGGCAAGTAATGAGAGTTAAGATTAGAGGGAGTGAAAGGCTGAAGCATATCTGAGAGGGTCTTGAATGCTGCCAGAGCAGTTTGGACTTAAATTGGCGTGTACTGGGAACTCATTGAAGGTTTTTGGCACACAAAAGCTGAGGATAAGATTAAGAGAATGATGTATAGTTTAGACCAAGAAAAAGCTAAGAACCTTCTGCTGGGGCCCAGACTCTACGTAATAAGGGCCTGGAAAGGGAATGAAAGGGAGGACAAGGACGGGAGAGATACCAGAAAATAAGCTGCAATGTGTGTAGTGAGGCAGAGGGTGGGGTTAAAGTAAATAATTTCAACCGCTCTGGTCTACTGAACATCAACACCGTTTCACTTCATCTGAACACCCCTGCAAGGGAGGCATTAACCCATTTCAAAGATGCAGTTGGGAGAGATTAGCCAGGACTAACCCCTGCTGCGTGACACTGCCCCGCTCACTCGCTCTCCCATTGGTCTACAGCGTCCCCCAGGCACTGTGTGGGGCTCCAGGTTATGAGTGCGCCCGGCCACCTCCACTCGCAGTACTGCCACCTGCCCCTAAAAGGTCCCATTCCTCTCCTCCTACTTCCTACATGGAGACCATGGGAAACAATGGAATATGATGCAGAAAAAATGTGTTTCTGTATCAGGATCCCAATCCCAGCTATACCACTTAAAGGCAGGGTGACTATCAGCAAACTCCTTACTGAAACTCACCAGCCCCAAGGTCCTCACCTGTAAAACACATAAGTAATAAATCTAGCTCATGGGGCTGTTATAAAAACTAGAGATCACGCACATGAAGCACTTGCTAAACAAGGGTAGAGTGGAGGTCACACTTCGGGACCCCTGAGCGCACTTGACACTGGGTCTCAATACACAGGAGCCAGTGGTTACATGGAGTATTCACCTGCCTCACCAAGCGGAAACAGGCACTTCCTGAATCCGTGCCTCGTTAACTTTCTCTTCCGTCGTGATTTTAGTGGCAGCCATCAGAAAAGGAAACTGTCCACGTAAGGTCTACAGTTTAATCTTTCTCAATGAGAGGGTCCAAGCCCGCATATCAGAATCACGTGAAGGGGAATTTAAACAAACACCTAGGCCCTACCTGGACCCAGGGCATCAGATTGCAGGGAAGGTGGGAGCAGACCCAGTTTGTCAATGTAGACTTCCCAAGGTAAATCAGCTGCTTTACGAGAGGTGGACCCCTGGTCTGGAGCCTCCCTGCTCTTCAGGAACCTGGTCAAATCTCTCCTTTCATGGAGGCCTCCCTACCAGCCCACCCGTGGAGAGATCTCCTGGTACACACAGCTCGTCTGCCGCTGCCACTGCCTGCCTTGTCTGGTTTCAGGTCCGAATATAAACAGATACTGGCCATATCTTCCTAGGGAAAGTGAAACCACATAGAAGGAAGGGTGGCTCTTAAAATTCCCCACTCTTATATCCCACACCTCTGCCTCATACAAGTAACAGGCACTTAATAAACGTGTGTTGCTTAGTTATAGTGGGCGCCCAAAATTTTGAGAATGCACTTTGAGAAGCTGTAGAGTAGAGGTCACACTTTGGAGCCCCTGCATGCACTGGCCCTTCGGGTGGGGTATGAGGGGTGCAGTAAAGGCCCCGTCAATATCTGGACAGAGGGAAACCCTCCTGAGGTAAGTGGGTGTGGAGTCCAGGGATGGCACCACCGCTCACCCCTACCCACAGACTGAGCATTGCTCCAAGGTCACCAAAGCTAGCGGCTCAACAAGGCACACAAGAAAGAGGAGTCCCAGTACAAGAAGGCTTGAACTTCTCAGGGGACAGAAACATATCTTTCTATTTACAGAGCTCCTGAGACACACGCCATTTTCAGTCCTTGTACAAGACACAGCAGGAACCATAAAGATTAGTGCAAAATGAAATGGTCTGGAGTCTCAAATGAGCCCATGAATGAGGGTCAATGCACCTCTTTGGCCCTTTGTGCCTTCACCTATGCTATCCCTTAGAGACCACAAACTAGGATACGCTGGTGGTGTGAGGAGACCAATATTCGGACTTCCTGGGGGAACTCAGCTCAGAATTATATAGCCCTCCTCTGTAGGAAATGCCTCTTCCTGTCCAGCCCATCACTGCCATCCTACAGGCTGGCCCCTTCTCCTGCCGTCAGCCCAAAGGCAGAGACCACTATCCTTTGAATGACTAATCTTCACATATTTTAAGTCATCGTAAAATGGTCTGTCAGACACACCCAACCCATCAACAGAGTACAGCGCTTCTCAGCGGTCTGCACACTAGAATCAACACAGGAATTCTAGTTTTTCGAAGTGCCCCCAAGAGAGTCCACCCTGCCTTGAGAGAGCCTCTGATCCGGCAGATGATGCTATGCACACTGGGCCATGGAAACACAATGCCTCCTTCACTGCCTTCTTTAGCATTTCTTGCCCAAATTCTAGGTCATGAGGAGAGGCCACAGGCAGGTTCTTCTCCAGAGCGGCTTCTGAAGATTTTTGCAAACTGCATCTTACACTCCATGGTGGCAGTATATGGCCCAAGAATTTCTGTGACTTTCCTCTGACTATTCCCCCAGATATATTCACATCTCTCTTCAAATAAGGTGCAAATACATGACATAAGGTCCTGAAACAATGGTAGGACTACATATCTCTTGGATACAAAAAGCGTTTCTTCTCTTTGGCTCAATTAGGAAAAGGTATTATATAGATCAGGGGAAATTTTTCTTCATTGTGGGATTTAATCCACTTGTTGACTCAAGCACAAAAGAGCCAGTTGATTCTTGTCCTAAATTCTGAACAACACATGTCAGTGGGCTAATTTTTAGCTAGCCCATTCATATATGTATTGCCTGCCTCAAAACTACCCATGGATTATTATTGCTATTATCAAAATGATGCTGCCATCCCTTAAAATGCCTCTGGGACTTCTACCTGAAAACTGAGGTCAGAGTCCATGAAATGAACCATAAAAGAAAAGTAGACTTACTCAATTATCCCTAATGCCTTTTCCAGTTTTGACCCAACTATATTGCCATGTTTACAGTGATGGCAGGCAAAGTGAAGTTCAATGGCTTACAATCCTTTTCCCTCAAGCCCCAAACCCAAATTAAGAAACAGAAAGTTCTTTCTACTGCCTTTGAATACCCTCCCAGATTAGCCCTTCCAAGTAGGAAGATACCCATGATATGGGATGTCTTCTTCCCGATCATTCTCAAACTGTTCCCTGCTCGTCACGCATCTGCCCGTCTGTTCACGTCTCCCTCGTCATGCCAGATACGCTACTCAATTCCTCATATTTCACCTACGTTCCATAACTTACAGAAATTAGTAATCATATATAACAGGCAATTATACGTAAATAAATATGTTATATCTATTTATATATTCAAATTATGTACATATATATAGACATATGAAATAAATCAACAAAAGCAGCATAGGTGTGAAAAACAGCCTGAGTTCAATCTCAGAGCCACCACTGGGTGAACTTGAGTATTTTGGTAATGCCTCCTGAGTCTCAAGTTCTTCACTCAGTTTCTTCTGTCAAATCAGAATGCCACCCACTTCCTCTGAAGTTTGTTGTGCTCATTAAATGCATTTATGGAGCAGAAGTGTTTGGCACATGATAGGTACAAAACATACGGTAAATAAAAACACATGGACTTAATGCTACATTTCAAAATTGGAAATCTTAACATACAGTTTAAAGAGACCTACACACAAAAGTCTTAAGAGTCTGGATCTTGTGCTTGTGGCTACATTAGTTGACTTTTCAATTTAAAATACACTTCAGCTGATTCTATGGAACCAAAGAGAATGATTAACACATTAGATGAGGATTTTTTTTTCCTCTTTTTAAAAATTATTCCTCTTCAAGCATTTCTAGAATGTTCTCCAAGTGCTGATTTAACCCTTCATCTTCACGCCATTCTGTCCCTCACACAGCTTTCCTATTTCCTACACAGCTTTGGATTTCCTACAAAGCTAGTTCACAAGGAAGTCTCAGATATCTGTATACACCTGGCTAACAAGGAAGTAATTAAAACATGAAAAAGCAATCTCTACCAGGTAGGTTAAATGATAATAAAATACTGACACCCTGTATGTGTCCTGCACAGTCTGCTCCTCCACTGTATTCAACATGCATTCCCAGGCCTCACAAAGAAGACTGGTTGGCCACATTACATTACCACCAGTTGACAGCTAGGAAAACATAGACCTTAGTGCCTTGCCTTGGGACACACCTTTTAACGGGGAAGTTGTCACCAGAATTCAGGTCTCTGGATTCAGTCCCAAACCATGGAGTCCCTGGGGTGTCCTGGGTCTATCTGACATGAAGCAAGTACTCCCAATTCCCATTCCTAGACATTGCCTTGGAGGATCCATACAGCAAGTCCACAGTTGCAGCCACTTGCACAGAGATCAAATCATCTTCCTCCAACTTTCATTTTTCTATGGTATTCATCTTTCATTCAAATATAAGGTACCAAATTACTCTCCAGGGTACCTATAAAAGCAGACTTTACAGTATTACTAGGAATCAAGGAGGAAGCAAAAGCAATGCTTTCAACTTCTGAATTTCCTGCTTATCCCCGAAATCAACAGTTGAGCTGCCAAAGGGATGGCAGTAGAGGAGAGGGCCCTAGAAAAATCAGGTTGGAACCATATGTGTATATATGTGGAGTTCCATATACCAAGTAAACATCAAGCCAGTTAGAAGGGTTAATCAGAAGGTAGAATTCAAAGTCTCTGCTGTGTTACAAGCATCCAACCACAATGAATAATTTTCCTGCCCCTGTTAGAGCTGAATCAGAAGGGTTCAGCCTAAACATCACCAGGGACTTACTTAGAAACTGAGATGAGGCCAAAGCAAATGAGGCATAGCCGTGTTCTTTGAGACAAGAACTTGGAAATTATTTCCCTTAGTTGAGCAGGGCAAGTTCACCCCCCAGGCCTTCTGTACCTGCTCTTTTCTCCCTTCTCCCCTACATCTCTTCCTGTGAAATCAAACGGCCAGACTGAGAGAAGACAAAAAGTGTAGACCCAGGGGATGGCGAACCGGGATGGGGGATGGTGGGCAGTGGGTGAAGGCTGGAGGAGGGTGGAGGGTGAGGGCAAGTAGCAAGGTCGTATAGGAAAGGAAGACAAAGAATTCTCAAGAAAAGGAGACACCAGTTATCGCTGGTTCTCCCTACTGGAAAAAGAAAAACCAAATTCAAAGTTAATGAACTTTTTAAAACCACCTCTACCTCTGGGGATTCTCTCTCTGAAGAGAGGAGCCGCACACCTCCCGGATAAGATTCCTCAAGTTCCTTGGAGCCGGAGGGATCCGAGGGGCCTCGGGCAGGCTCAAGGTGGAGGGCATTGTTGTGTCTGCTCCATTCAGGATATTCCAGCGCGCACCACCGGCGCTTGGGGTCTGCTGCGCCCAGAGAGCTGGCTGGAAACCGGAAACTGTGCGGTGCCAGGCCCGGGTCCTGGCCGCCAGCCTGGCTCAGAGCCCGTCGGATGACGCCGCCAGAGCGAAGACGACCTTACCTGAACTGGGCAGGGCTCCTCCTCCAGAGCAAAGATGCCCTGGACGGCTCCATTGAGAGGCGTCTGCTCGTCTGGCTGCCCCTGGATCACCGAGAGCTCCAGCTCATCTCCTGGCGATGGGGGCCTGGCCCCCTCCATGGACGGGGAGAGGAGGATTAAACAGCCCGCCAGGAAGCAGGACGCATACACCCGTGGGCGCAAAGTGGCCTCGAGCGTGGTTCGCCCTAAGTCCCCGGTGGGCGGGGCGGGGAGCCCTCGGGCGGTGGGCGGGGCCTGGTGGGGCGTGGGGGGCTGGAGGCGGGCTTTGACGCCCGGGAAGCTCCCCTAGCTCCCGCCAGGTGCCGCAGGCTTGTTCTGCTGTGAGCTCCGGAACACAACGGAAGAGGGCTGTTTTTCTGGTTTGTTCAGGGCGCTGCTTGCTCTGCCTTTTGCTATTTGTACATATACAAAGCAGAAGCTGAGCCGAGGGCCTGATTGGGCATCGGGCTGTGGCATGGATGGACATTCCACCCTCCTCGAGGAGCTGTCTGTTGCACGGGCTTGCCCCAGTTTTCTATGCCTAGCAAAATTTCATTCATTTAATCAACATATAACTATGAACATATAACTATCTCCTGCGTGCCAGGCATCGTGCGAGGTTCTGAGCCAATGAAGGTGCATAATACGAATCCACTCCTTCCTCTTACGAGTCCAGAGTCAGGCAAAGACACCGTAATGAGTGGTGGAGGGAACAGCAGGCTCAGGAACCAGGCTGCCCAGATTAATCCCCTCTCACAGGGTTCCTAACTGCGAGACCTTGGACTTTCATCTTTCTGTGCCCAGTTTCCTCATCCGGAAAGCTGACATGATGTTAGTACCCCCCTAAGGGAGTTGTTGCCAGATTCATAGAGTTGATGTCAGCAGAGCACTCAGACATATAGCAAACATTCATAAACGTTGGCTATTATCTACCTTTGGGAAGAGGAGTCACAGATACCCCACCATCACCAGCACCACACACACACACACACACACACACACACACACACACACACACACACACACACAACCTGAGGAAAAAGTATATGCACCCACTCACAATCCACAGTCCATAGTTCAGAACTTCTGGTCTTGAGAGCCTGAAATTATGTTTGCTCTGCAGCGTGTGCTGATGCTCTCAAGTTTCTGCTCAGAGCTGGCTTGCTTCCTACTTCTTCCCTGCCCCCAACAAACATACACTCTGAGACGAGTTTGAGACATGGATCTGGCACATATAAATCAGCTCCATTTCAGAAGATGTTGGCTTGTGTCCAAAAATCCAGCACCCTCGATGCCTACTGTTCAGACACTGCCTAGATATCAGGTCTCTAGTTGTCTCTTGCCTGCTGCCAGCTCATCTGGACTCTGGACTCCTGTCTGCCTGCTGGATGGGGTGGTGCTAACTGCAGCCACTCAGCTGCTGGCCGGCGCCGACTTCTGCTTTCTCTGCCCTAAAAGGCAGGACTCAGTCTGCATATTCTCAGCTGGGATTTTGTAAGAGGCTTTCTAATGAAGGAGCAAGGGTTAAGGGAACCAAGAAGGGGCACCAAGGCACCCAAGGACTAACAACAGCAGAAAGCCCTCCATACCCTGAGGCTTAAAATGGACGAGAGCTTGATTAAAAACTAGAACCATCAGTTGGGCCCTCTTGATAGGATCTGTAGTCACAAAAATTTGCAGCCACTGCCAGGACTACAGTCCAGCAGAGAGGAAAAATTCTCTGATCTTTGTCACCACCTGCCAGGGTTTTGCCCGTTAACTCCCATTGGAAACTGGTGATGGAGGTTGGGGGTCAGCCTCCCAGGCTAAGAGCAGAGAATGAATCAGAGGTGAAAAGAGAGAGGAACCTGCATGTATACCTTTCCCTGCAGTAACTAACTTCTAGTCTTCCTTCTCAGACATTCAGTAGTCAGTAGACTCCTCTGGTCTGACCAGATTCCTCTTCCTGGCTGGCCCTTCCCTCTCCCATTCTGTTGCCACTCCCCACATCTTTGTATATGATGCTCCCTCTGCTTGAAATGTTTTTCCTTCCGCTCCAGCCCACTTTCTGTATGGACAGCTCCCCTTCATCTTTAAATCCAAGCTGAAACACACTTTTCCCAATAAACCTTCTCTGATTCCCTTCCTCCACCAAAAGTTATCCACACTCTTCTCTGCTACCCATACACGTTGTTCCTGTGCTAACCACGTCACATATTCAGTCTAATTTAATTCAACAAGTTGTACTGAATGCTTGCCATGTGTCAGGCATTCTTCTTGGTGCTTGAGATGTATCTGAAGAGATAGCTAAATAAAACACAATCACTGCCATTGTGAAACTAATATTTATTAAGGGGGAGCAAACTTAAATAATGTTTTTAGAATATTAGGAGGTGGTGCGTGCTATGGGGGAAAAAAAAGAAAGGTAAAGAAGGGTACGGGAGGCTGGAGAGCTGAGAGGTGCAGTTGGGAGTTGCGATTATAAATAAGGTGACCAACTTAGACCTCATTAGGAAAGTGAAATTTGAGCAAAGAGTTGAAGATGGCAAGGAATTAGCTCTGCAGATTTCTGAAAGAAGAAGGAACTCTAGGACAAAGGTCCTGAGACTGGAGCCTGTCTGACTTTTACTGTCTGAGAATCAGTAAAGAGGCCAGAATGACTAAAATGGAATATAAGCAGGAATTTTTTTTTCTTTGTCTGCCTCCAGCAGTTGTTTAATCTCCTCGAGGTATCTATGTTCCCAGTACTCCGCTCTGTATCCAGCACAGTGCCCTCTGTAAATGTTGATTAATTTGAATATTCTCGGTAATGACAGCTTGCTAGACCCAGGGCCTTAGACCCTGACTAGAACCATTAAAACCTCTCTAACCCTGACTCCTATCCTTACCCAGCCCCAGACCACCTTTCCCATAATTTCCTCATTTGACTGCAGGAGCTCATTCTCAGAGGGAGATTCCCTCTGTTGTGTAGGATGGACTGTGGCTGTCTTCTAAGCCTGGTTTCTCCATGAACAGATGTCTAAAATCTCCCTCACTCTCCCAGAGAACCAGAAAGCTACTGTTTCCTGTCACAAGTATATTCTACACCACATCTCTCAATGCCTTCTGAGTACCACGAGGCAAGGTTTATTTATTCTCTTATCTAGACTCAAATGCATTTCCAGAATTTCATAAGACTAGCCCTTGTACACTGTTGACATCCCTATGGTAGTATAGGTTTTGAAGACAAGAAGAGTTAGGATCAAATTTCGACCCTCACTAACTGTGTGTTCTTAGGCAAGTTGTTTAAAGTCTATGAGCTTCTTTCCTCCTTATAAAATGATTCCTACCCAGTAGAGTTAGGAGGATTAAATGAGGTAATGAAAGTAAAGCATTTATTCCTGTGCCTGGCAAAAGCAGAATCACAGTAAATATTCCTTTCCTTGCCATAACTATGAGTATCTCTGTAACTAATACCCACCTACCCCAAACTCTTTGCACCCAGCAATAATCTTTGATTCAATATACTTTCTTTTTCTTTTTCTTTTTTTCTTTTTTTTTGCGATACGCGGGCCTCTCACTGTTGTGGCCTCTCCCATTGCGGAGCACAGGCTCCGGACACGCAGGCTTCAGCGGCCATGGCTCATGGGCCGGGGCATGAACCCGTGTCCCCTGCATCGGCAGGCGGACTCTCAACCACTGCGCCACCAGGGAAGCCCCAATATACTTTCTTTTGATATTGATTTGTGTTCCTGTCTTGTCACATTTTCTGGATTGCTGACACTTGCTCACACCTCCCCATATTTCCTGAAATACTTAAATTCTTACTTGCAACCTGTTCCTGATTTCTGATAACTGCAAATTTCTTCATCTCCAGACAGCTGACCTAGAATGTAGGTGAATGTACCAACTTCCACTTGAGGACTTTTATTGTCCTGCCAGTCTGACTCTAAACTGAAGATTCAGATGAGTTAGAAAGAAGTCTTTCTCCCTGGAGGTAGAACCAGGTTTAGATTAAATCATTCTTGTTGAAGTTTAGGATTTGTGAATGAGGAATCAAATTCTATCTGGATTTCTTTTTGCATTTTCTTCAAAACTGACTTCTATAGGGGTAGCTTTTTAAAGAATATTGTTCTTTCATAAATAGTTCTCTAAATGTGCTTTTTAAAAGTATACTGTTCTTGCACAAATAGTTTTTTTTAATATAATCTAAAAATTATTATTGACTCAAGTACTTTAGTTCATTCAAGGGGGTCAAATGTAAATAACATTAAAAAATTCAAACATACTTCTTGCCAAGGCTTGCTGACCAGTATAAGATTTTCAGTTTTGCTTTTCTTGTCATAGTACTTGCTCTTCTTTCTTCATCTCCTTTAAGAGCAAATAATTTCCTAAATGGTTATCATATAAAACAAAAAATAAAGTAACATCATTAAAGTGAGGTCACCAAAGCATCTCATTAGCTTCAAATAGATCTATGCCTCTTCAAAACATCACATTTTGGGGGCTTCCCTGGTGGCGCAGTGGTTGAGAGTCTGCCTGCCGATGCAGGGGACACGGGTTTGTGCCCCGGTCCAGGAGGATCCCACATGCCGCGGAGCGGCTGGGCCCGTGAGCCATGGCCGCTGAGCCTGAGCGTCCAGAGCCTGTGCTCCGCAACGGGAGAGGCCACAACAGTGAGAGGCCCGCGTACCACAAAAAAAAAAAAAAAAAAACCACCACATTTTGTACCCATATGTTGACAGATGGCAAGCAGTACTATGCTGAACATCAGCAATTAGAGCAATTGGATCAGCCACTCAGGATAATCAAGCAGAAAACAAATGAGAAATAGTTGGTTGGCTTGTGGTATTTCATTTTGCAGTTTTCCAGGCACTGTGAAGGGTGAGTCCCTACTAATTCTCCCCGATAGTCTAGCACATGAAAATGCTCCTGTCTTTGTTTTTGGAGACCATTCCACTCTGTTAACTAAACCAGTCTTGGAATTTGCCTCTACTCACACCTTTGCAAAAATAAAGTCGATATTCCTGCATCATTCAGGTTCTAAAGGCATCTTGGCATGAAGTAGCCAAGTAAGTTAAACTGGTGTTTCTCAACCTTTTCCCCATGTCTGCACTGATGAGGAACATGGTACACTCACATTAGCACCAGCAAGTGCTTAG